AGAAGACCATCATGCTAAACTTTATCAAAAGCTTTAAAAATGTCAAGAACAATACCCTTAGCCTCTCCATATCTATCAAATGCATGATAAAACCTATCAGTTATTAATGTTACCATACCATGACAAAGTCTGAACAATACAAGAGAGGTGCAATAGCTGATTTGCCCTTATTATTGATACTATTAAAAAATCTCCAGAAGTCACGAGAGCTTAATTTTTGTGATGAAATATGAGATTTCATGACCTAAGAATAGCAGGCTGTGGCGTTAGACAAAACTTTTTTAAAATAGTTTCTAGCAGTAATAAACAGACGTCTGTTTTCTAGAGACTTGTTTAGCTGATAGGTATGAAAGTAATGACTACGATTGGAAACAGCAGGACCAAAGATACGGGTTTCGAAGTGGGGGGACACAATCGTTAATTTTTAAAAAAAGTTCTCTATATATAGGATTTTTTTTTTTTAATGTTTTTTAGAAAAAAAAGTTGGGGTGCACGTTCCCCTGGCTTCCCCGGTGTTGTCGGCCCTAAACTGGACAATCAGAGAAAAACCATGGACATGAGTGAGGTTTGACTTGGAATTGTTGAGAGGGAATAAAGATTCTATGTCAGCCTGAATCCAAGAAGTTACATAAGAAGCATATTTGTCAGCATATTTTAGTTACATAAGAAGCATATTTGTCAGAAAGCAAAAGATTTCTACCTAAGGGCCATCATAAAGGAAATCACTGAAAGAGTCCCAATCAGCTTCAAGGTAAAAGAAACGATGATAGGGGGATTCTGATAATGAAGAAGAATGAGATAATAGTTTTAGAGAGATCAAACCATGATTAGAAGCACCTAAGGGTGAATGTGGAAAAATTGAGCACTGATAAAAATCAGAAACAAGACATAAGTTGAGTAAAGAAGGTAAATGATTCCGATTATCTGGAAAACGAGTTGGAAAGTTAACTATATGTGTTATTATCAACTTTCCAACTTTCAAACAGTTATTGTCATTTAAAAAAAGTAAGATTTAGTTATATTATTTTTAACATCACTACATTATATATTAATCATTAAATTGTTTAATTTTTATATTTGAATATAAAAAATTATAACTTGGAGTTTGCTATCCATATTAAAATTAGGTCATGGGAGAAGTTTTGAAAGAGTAACTAAATAAAAAAGCATTAAAATATTTACCTTTTTTTTCACACAAAATTTATGTTTG